ATTAAATATTTGATTTCACTGTATGATTGATTTATCACTCTACTATTTATGTTGTTTTGGTTGATATTTGTATTTTGATATCAAGTTGGTATTTTGACGAGGAACCCATTTTGATACAAGGGAAAAGAATTATTCCGCTTTAACAGGTTTTTCCCAACAAGTGGTATCAGAGCAATAGGATATTTGGTGCTAGTTTTTCTTATGTGATTGAAATGGAACAATCATATAGTATGATTAAATTGAACTCATCAAATTATTCCACTTGGAGACATACGATGGAAGATTTACTTTATTGTAAAGATTTATATAAGCCCATCAAGGTTAAAGATAAACCTTCTATTATGGATGATGAGAAATGAGAAGTTCAACATAGAAAAGCTATTATCTATATTAGAAGATGGATGAATATAAATTTATATAAGCATATTTCTGATGAAACCAGAGCTGATGTTGTTGTTTGGCAAAAGTTAGAAAATCTCTTTGCAAAAAAGACAATGGGAAATATAATTTCTCTCCTCAAAAGACTTGTAAATTTAAAGTATAAAGATGGTGGTAATATTGTTGATCACATAAGCCTATTTTAGAGTCTTACAAACAAGCTAGTTGCTATGAAAATGAATATTGATGATGAGATACAAAGATTATTACTTCTCAGCTCTTTACCAAAAAGGTGGGAAACGTATATGGTGACAATTTGTAACTCCACGCTAGAGGGGACTCTAACTATAGGTATGGTTAAAGACAGTTTGCTAAATGAAGATGCTAGAAGGAAAGAACAGGGTGAATCTTCTTCTGGTGCATTTATTACTAGAAAACAAGAAAGACATGGAAGAAGTCATAGCAGAAATCCACATGGTTATAGAGGAAGATCCAAGTATAGAAAATATGTCAAATGTTTCCACTGTAATAGGCCTAGTGACATGAAGAAAGAGTATAGGTTTTGGAAGCGAGAACAAAATGAAATGAAGAAAAATGAGAAAGAGACCAATACAATTGCTGCTAAAGGTAATATCATTATTGTTTGTGATGACGGTTGTGTTAGTCTTGTAGCTCAGGACAATAACTGGGTAATTGACTCTGGTGCTTTATTTCATGTTACTTCTCATGGTGATTTTTTCAGATCTTACACTACTGGTGATTTTGGTAATGTCAGAATGGGAAACAGTGGTACATCTAAGATTGTGGGTATTGGAGATATTTGCTTGGAGACCAGTATTAGAAGCAAATTGATACTCAAAGATGTAAGGCATATTCCAGATATTCGTCTTAACTTGATATCTATATGCAGACTTGATAATAAGGGATTTGCACATTCTTTTGGTGAAAGCAAATGGAAACTCACTAAAGGTTCTCTAATTATGGCAAGAAGAAAGAAGCTTAACTCTTTTTACGTCATGGAAGCTAAGCTATACAAAGGAGAGATTAATGCAATTCAAAAGGGTGAAAGTATAGATCATTGGCACAAGAGGCTTGGTCATATCAATGAGAAGGGACTTCAAACTCTTGCTAGAAAGTAGTTCTTACCAGAGTTGCAAGGTACATCTCTTAAATCTTATGATCATTTCTTAGTTAGAAAAACACATAGAGTTGCCTTTTATACATCCATCATCTAGAAAATTAGATGTTATTGATTTGATTCATACTGATGTTTGTACTATACAAACTAGAACTGTTGGAGGTGCTCTTTATTTTGTTACTTTTATTGATGATTATTCTAGAAAAGTTTGGGCTTTTGCTTTGAAATCTAAAGACTAGGTACTTGATATTTTCAAAGAGTTTCATGTCAATGTTGAAAGAGAAACTGGCAGAAAGCTAAAGTGTGTTCGATCAGATAATGATGGCGAGTACAAGGGTCCTTTCGAGAATTATTACAGGTTTCATGGTATCAAGCTTGAGAAAACAGTTCCTAAAACGTCTCAGTAGAATGGTGTGACAGAAAGGATGAATAGAACAATTGAAGAAAGGATTAGGTATATGCTTTCCCACGCCAAGTTATCAAAGCCATTTTGGGGGGAGGCTATGGGAACTACAGTTGACCTGATAAATCTTTCTTCATCAGTTCCTCTGAAAGGTGATGTTCCATAGAGAGTATGGAAAGGAAAATATATAACTTATAATCACTTGAGAGTCTTTGAGTGTAAAGCATTTGTTCATATTCCCAAAGATGAAAGGTCCAAGCTTGATAATAAAGCAAAAGCATGTATCTTCTTAGGATATGGTAATGAAGAGTTTGGGTACAGATTATGGGATTTAGTGAAAAATAAGATTATTAGAAGCAAAGATGTTATATTTCTTGAAGACCAATTGTTTGATGATGGTGATAATGTTGATAAGCCAAAAACCTCTGTTTATATTCCTTGGAGTCTGGGTCTAATTCCTTCACCTGTAGTTCATGATGATCATGGGGGAGATAAACAAGAAGATTGTGATAAGAATGTTAGTGATGATACTCCTACAGTTGATGATGCAGAACTAACTGAACAAGCACCTCCACCATCAGTTGA